ATATTAATTAATTAGGATATGTGATGTAGACCCTTTTTATTTGTATTCATATTATATGTAATGATTATTTAAAATCATAAATAAGAGATTTTTTCTAAAATTTGTTTTAACAAATTCAAATCTTATAATATATTAATATATAATAATCAATTTGAAATTCTTATAATCAATATATTATATTTTTTAACTTTTTTTACCATCTTGTTTGTATTAGTTAATATATTATATTATTTGAGATTTGTTTCAATTATATTTTGAACTATTATAATTGATTAATTTTACAAGACGCCCTTTTTGGTCATTTTACATTCTTATCAACTAATTTTGTCACACATGATTTGTTCATCAGCTGGCTTCTCAGCCACCAGCTAGTTTGCCTTAAAGGAAAGAATACTAGTTTAGCATGGTAGAGGAATATACCCTCTGAACTTGATGCAATTATTGTACTCCCATCAGCAGCACCATGAGTAGCTTTAGTTCCAAATAAAGTGAGGATGTACTTTTTATCATGGACATTATGGTGCTCCCACTTGATTTCAGGCTTAGACTGCTGCTTAGTATCACCACCTTTTGGTTTGTCTTCTCCATACATGTATAAAGAAGCACCAGTAAGATTTTGTGAAGCCACAACGATTGAAGAAGAATCATCAACAAATGCAACGGCAGTAGGATGACCTCCAGCAGCAGGCAGGTTAATTCTCAAAAACCTACATTCAGATACCAAGTATAGAAATTAGAATAATAATTAGGACATTGATGTCATAGGTGTCAAAGGCAAAAAATTAATGAATTCTTGCTTGAAGCTTTTGCTTGAAGCATCATCCAACTTGAATACCCTKATTACACCATCGTCACAAGCTGCATGCACAAACAACATAATAATCAGTACAAAAGTATCACATGTGCTCAAATAAAGAATACATCACTGCGAGAAACTGTACTTGCATTACTACTATATCTTCAGTTGTCAAATGGTTTTTGGTTTGTTAAGGAAATGATGCTATGCCTATAATTTGAAGAAAACATATTTAGACAAAAAAAGAAATTTGGTGCCATATGGAAAATGTATATTTTGGTACAATAGCAAGTCAACCATCAAGCTGTAGACATTTTAAGCTCAAATCTTAGTGCAAGAAAATTTTAGAAGGTTGAGCAGCTGATTCCAACTACTCCGGCTGTTCCTTAATGTAGTCACTTAGTATTGACAAATTGAATTTCAACTATTACTTAAAGAAACAAAGCATGTGTAATTTATGAAATAACAAAAAGAGTCGAGTGGTGTATAAGCAATGCATGAGGTAAATTTCCCAACCTTGTCCTGTATGAAATGTCTACATTAAATGTCCCGTAAAGTATCATTTTTTCGAAGAAATGGCATAAGAGATTCCCATGTGACAAACTGAAGGTGATATTCGTAAATATTTAAATTAGCTTCTCTTTTTGTACTTGATAACAATCATTTAGAACAGTGAAGCATGGTGTCTCCAAAATGGGTGAAATTGATGAGATGCACAAATGAAAAGAGGGAGAAAGAACAATTAGACAAAACCGAATAGCCGCAATCTTCTTCACATTGCTAAAAAATCATCACTTGCCCATTTATAAGGTCTATATTTTACCAAATAGACAAGAGGGGATTAGAAACCTATATCACATGAATCCTACTTCATAGTAAGTACAATAAAACCTTGAAACACTATTTCATCCAAAAGAATAAGAAAGCATGCTGCCTTTCAATCATATCCAAGAACTCAATAGTAAAGCACTGTAGAAGAAGGCTCGATACTTCTATTCAGTGTTCTAAAGAATCTTAAGAGGAGCTAAGAAGGGCGTAATTGGATGCATCAAGTAGTTTGATTTAACATAGAACATATAACTGATTCTAAAAACATGCAAGGTAACAGTTTTGATATTGTAATTATATTGAATTGGAATGAAATAATTTTTGTTACTGGGCAACCAATTACCAGACCACCTAATTCACTAACTGGCTTAACTGAGTTAATATTCAATGCATTCATTGCATTGGTTCTCATGATTCTCGGAGCTACATTATCAATGTACAGTTAACAGGAGTGGTGAGAATTACCAGTTGCCAAACTATGTCCATCTGATGAAAAGCATAAGCCATTAACGGAATCCCCATGACCTTTCAAAGTGTTCAAGTCTAATGGGTGGTGGCGCTTGTTTGAATCCTACATCCACAGCCATTAATGAGTTGGTAAATAGGTTCTGATAAACAAATTATAAGACATTTTACAGTATCCACATACACAAGCACAATCACATCTCCTGCAGCTGATTGCTGATATTATTTGTATCTATTTTTCCAATTGTGTATGTGTAGAGAGGTCAGGGGGAAAAAGGTAAACAGTGGAAGCTGATTATCTTGCAAAATTGTGTAGGTACAAATCTACAGGCAGCAACAATAAACAGCAGTTATGCAATTGTGCATCCCATGTGTGCTTGCTAGCAAAAGATGGATAATGATATGAAAAGAACCAACCATTCTACTGCATCAGAATCTAGAAAGAAAATGATATGAAAAGAACAAACCATTCTACTGCATCAGAATCTAGAAAGAACATTCATTCAGATTCCCCTTTTTATAGGTGTAGCATGCCCAGTATGGATTTATTTCAAATTCAATAACAACATTATTTTGCATGTACAGCCCATTGTAAGTTTATGGCTTTTCCTCTAATTATCATTTTCTTCCCAAAAAGAAAATGAACAGAATTGGTGTCGTCGCTAGCTAGAAATTTTCCAGTTACTTGGGCAAAACACATATCTCAAAATTAGGTTTCACTTACCAATCGCTTCGATCACAAAGTTCACAACTGTATAGCTCCATCATTAAACATCATGAAAAAATGTTCGTACAGAACGCTGTGTATAAAGCCCTATAAATGGAAGCACAACGGGTTCCAATTCATAAATCATCAGCAATTCAATGTGAACATTCAGCGTATAATCACATTTCTCAGAATTAGGTGCGCCTTAATGACTCATTTCACTCAAGAACTTCAAAATCACACGACACACCTCAAAATCATATATAACAATAAACACATAACCATCACCTATCACTTACATATGATTATAAGCTGCATGTGTGATCAAAAAAATTACCTTATCAGCATGAGAATGATGAGGCTTGGACTGAGATTTCTTATTTTGCTGAGGCCTTGAATTCTTCAGATTGACTGCCGCCGCTTCAGCAGGATTTGCAACGGAAACAACTTCCGATTTACGCTTGCGAAAGTAGCTGCCAAACGCTATAAAAGCGATCAGAGCTCCAAGAATCAGAGAGCTAACTACCGCGATTGATGCAATCCCTTCCATCTTTGAGCTACTAATTTGATCAACAGATTCAGAATCTGGATTTGCGATTGACGGCTTGAACCCAGAAGTTTCAGGAAACACTAATACCACTACTTGGTTTGGCAAACAAGGAGGTGGGCCTCTACGTGAAGGGTTAAAATGGGAAAATTGACCAAAATAGATTTCAATAATAAGTTGACAAATAGGTTTTTTACAACTTTGGAATTGTTTGTAAAAATAACTTAATAATTTATTCCGGTGGGATATCTGTAATAAGAATTTTTTAGTGTTTGGATAAATAATTCATACCGGTGCCAAACCGGTAATAAAGAGTTTTTGAAAAAGTTAAACTCTTCTGACTTATAATAAGTTGATAAGTGCTTTTGTAGAAAAGCATAAGTTGTTTCAAATAAGCAATCCCAAACACCCCCTTAATGTTTTGTTTTATTTGATTTTTTTATCTAAAAATAGTATTTAATATTTTGATTAACATATATTTGTTTTGCAATGTGTTTGTATCATATGTATTCGGTTCACAATATGAAACTTTTTTACGTGTATTTTTTGTTTCACAAACATGTCAAAAGTGTTTAAATCATAAACAAAGTACATGTGAAACAAATATATCTTAATCAATATTGTTGTTAGCACGTCTCTTAATGTCAGAATTAAGTCAAGTCATACATTGATAATTGAAAACCGTAGGTTTTGATGTTGACATGTGTGAGTAGAAAATTAATCGGCAGGAGTTCATCTTCAATGCATATGGGTACGTTTTAAAAATCCTAACAACTCAACAACCTTTCTCGTCACCCTTTTTCGACCCTTTTCATTCCAAACTTCCGATAAATCCGCTTCGACCCTTCTGATCCACCAAAACTTGAACTTGCACCCAACTCGAAAACTACTACTAGCTTCTGCCTCACTGTAACTCTTATGAGCTCCTCCTATCTATTCTCGAATGCGCACAACTCAGCACCACCATCTTGGAACTTCACCGATCTCCTCCTTTCTCTCTCTCCTCCCTGCATCAGCTCAGAATCCACATACACCGACACCTTCAAACACCATCGTTCGGCTCTATTTTATTCTGTAAACAACCACCATAGCACCATTGTGATCTTTATCGGCCTATGCTACTCCTCCATCACACGCCATTTATTATGTTCTATCATCGAGGTAGCACCACAAATTGAACCCACCATAGCTCTGCCCTCGTATGTTATTGTTCTCTCATTTGGGTAGCAATATAAATCAAACCCATAAAAATCGGAATCATAAACCATTGTATCGTTCCGCCTTCATTTATTAACGTTGTCTCATCGAGGGTAGCCTCGTATGCTATTATATTTATACTATATTATAAATCATTTGACAAAACTCTTAAAAACAAATTTGAATGCGTAAAGTACTGTTTATTAATGCATATTACTTAAAACTCAAGATTACAAGTAGATTGTGCGTAAGTACAGCTTATTCAAGTTTCATATCTAAATTCGTGTAACTAACTGTAGATAAACATAATCAAATAAATAATAAACATCTCATTTTAAATATAAAAATCTAAAATATAATTAGAATAATCATTGAGTTCTAACAGAATATTTAATTATTATCTTTATAAAATGTTATATTATTAAACCAAAAATAAATTATTTCATTATTAAACTTAACTTAAGTTATAATAATAAAAAAATTAAGGAAATTACATAAAAAAAATAAAAACTTTTAAATAGTTGATTTGATATTAACATTGATATTTTTTTTTCAAGTTTTTATGATATCTTCACATTTATATTTTATTCAAAAATAAAATCATTATTGTTTTCTTAAAAACACATAATCCATGATTTATACTATATTATAAAACATTTGACAAAAACTCTTAAAACCTATTTTTTATGAATGAAGTACTGTTTATTGATGCATATTACTTAAAAATCAAGATTACAAGTAAAATTTGTATAAGTACAACTTATTAAAGCTCCATATCTGAATTTGTGTAACTAACTGCAGATAAACATAATCAAATACATGATAAATATCTCATTTTAAAATATAAAAAATTTAAAATATAATTAGGATAATTATCAAATTCTAATAGAATCATTATTTTTAATAAAATTTTGTTGTCAAGCCAAAAATAAATTACTTCACTGTTTGACCTAAATTAAATTATAATAAAAAAATAAAATAAATAAATTATATCGATATTTTTAAAAAAAAATTTATGATGTCTTTGAATTTATTTTTATTCAAAAGTAAAAACATTATTATCTTTATAAAATGTTATATTATTAAACCAAAAATAAAGTATTTCGTTATTAAACTTAAATTAAATTATAATATAAAAAAATTTAAATAAATTACATAAAAATAAGAACTTTTAAATAGTTGATTTGATATTAACATTGCTATATTTTTTTTCAAAATTTTATAATATCTTCAAATTTATATTTTATTCAAAAAAATCATTATTGTTTTCTTAAAAACATATAAAATCGTATTATAACATCGACAAAGACAAATAATAAAATAGAACATTAAAATCGAAATGTGTCTCGCTGAATTACGCGAATACTCTTCTAATATAATATAATATATGCTTAATTTTATAAGATAAAATTAAAGAAATGGTAAAAAGACTAAATATAATTAAAAATTATTTTTTTTATTATTTTTATAACTTTTAAATAAGTCTATTTATTTTATCTTAATTTTTTATTTAACTAGTTACATATAACTATAATGAAAATAAACTCATTTTAAGTAAATATATCGAAATTGTTGTTGCTATTGACTGATACCTTTTATTTAATAAATTATGTTAGATCATTCCACTGGAAACACTAAATATTATACTGAATACTAAATTTGACATCAGATCACTCCAATAAAGATACCAAATTTGGTATTAATAAATACTAACACACTGTCCTAAGTGATTAAAGAAACTTCAGACCGATATGGCCGACTCCCTTACTCGCTGAGTCGCTGGGTTGGCGTATCGAAAAAAGTGATCCAAAAATGGATTTGACCAAAAGTTTCAGGATATCTTCGGCCAAAGATTTTACCTACCCAATAGTGAAATCCTGCAAATAAAGCAAAAACGGCTCCCATAGAAAGTACATAATGGAAATGTGCAACCACATAATAAGTATCATAGAGCAATGTCTAACCTAGATTTTTCCGAAACTATTCCCGGTGATCCCTAGGTTGCAGCACGTTTGGTCGTTAACTCCTGGCACTGTTGCCGTTGTTTCTAGGACCAACCGACACCTCACCTGTGCACAGGTACCCACCTAGTGTCGGTCGCACATTCCACATAACGTTCAGACTCATGTGCCTTCCAGAACTAGGGGTCTTCAAGCCTGCTGTGTACGATTAGGTTCCTCACTCTAGCAGGCTATGACATGAAATGTGTAAATACCAACGCAATCAAAAGTAAGTTGATTTGCTTGCCCATTTCCTGAGTGCACAACGTCAATGATTTCGCTCAAGGCTCAAGGCTTAAAAGGCTCTTATTCCTTCTGGTCTCAAAATGGAATTTGAGGCGCCGGGTTTGGTTGGTTGCCGAAGGGCTATCTGATCCGATCAACTGCATAAGTCGTAGCGTGCTACAGTGCGTACTATTCCGAGGATTCTATCTAGATATATGGATCTCCCCAGCATGCAGAGCTAACCCTTGTTCTATTGGTTCGATGCTGCCAAGATGATTTCTTTATGCCTATCAAAGGACCTCGAGATGCTAATCCACTTAAAACGAGACGAGAAATTCGAAAGAACTGATATACGGAACGAGGGCGACCCGTGGAAATACATCGGTTTCTTACTCGTGCAAATATTTGGTGCGACTATATTCATTTACAACAAATTTTACATAAATATGAAAAAATAAATATAAAAAGGAATATATCTAAAATCTTATGTTTTAGTGAAAAAATAAAAAAGAATATACCCATTAAAATATTTTTTTTATTATCCTGGATATCCAACCCGCTATGTGAGCTGACTAATCTCATGGCGACCATCTGCTTTGCAGATAGCCCGAAGTCCCCGCATTTGACCTTCGTGGCCACAAGAGAATTTTTATTCCTTGTTGGATTTGAATCTGGGACCTCCTGGTACTTTTGACCTTTGGAGCCAAGCTCAAACCAATCATTTAAAATAGATTTACTGTTTACATCAAATTTTATGAATTTGGTATTACCTATTAGGTATGTTCTTAGAAGCATTAAAATTCCATTTACTACCGTAACTTGAACATAAGATCAAATTTATTTACTTGGTTGATCGAATTTATGTCCGATTACCCTTAACGTGGTAGATAACGATTTACAATAATAAATATACATGAACTTCTTGTTAATGTAGTAGATCATGGACAAATTTCGGTATATACCCATTTGAAGGTAGAATGTACACAAACTTTTCTTAGCTCCGTCTACTAGAGTAAATTATGTCTTTGTCCCTGTGGTTTGCTAAAAATTACAGTTTCGTCCTCATGGTTTTGAAATTTCGAATTTTATCCATGTGGTTTGCAATTTATTTCTATTTTCGTCTCTGAAATCAAAACACTACTTTTAAGTATGTAGGATTAAAATAGAAATAAATTGTAAACCATAGGAACGAAAAAAAAGCAATAATTTTTAAATTTTAAGGACGAAAAAGGTGATGAATTATAAACCATAGGAATAAAAATCGTAATTTCAAAATCATAACAACGAAAATAGAAATTTTCAATAAACCACAAGGACTAAAAACATAATTTTGTCGTCGTCTTCTTTTTTAAGATTGAATATGAAAATAGATAATGTGCAACAGATGGAGGGTATACATTTCCATGGATGCAAAAGCTTTTGATGATAACAATTAATACTAATCATTAATAACCAAAAGAATGGTGTCTGATTGGTTTGAATTTGGCTCCAAAGATCAAAATTACATGGAGGTCTCAGGTTTAAGTCTAAAGAGGAACAAAATCCATTTGTAGTTACGGAGGTTCAAATGCGATGACTCCGAACTATCTGCAAAGCAGGTGGTCGTCCTGTGGCAAAAAGCTCCTAGCTTATGATCATCCGGTCGAGACTTTTTCAAAAAGCTCAAAAAAAAGCCAACTTATTATCCAGAACTTGTCTTTACAAGATCGCATGCGGCCTTAGTTCTCGAACTAAGTCAATCAAACTTCCAAACAACCAACGATCAAGCCAAGTAAAGAGGATACAACAGACAATTGGAATACAATGTATTGCTTGAGATAACTTACAAGAGAGTTTAGAACAATAATTTGAGGTGTATTAACCTATTTATACTATTCAAATGAATAATCTAAGAGAATAACTATCAAGATATTCACAAGAAACTATTTAGAGAAGCTTCTACATCCTTCCATGGGGAAGGCTTCCACCCTCCCTTGTAGAGTCTTCTAGAAATCTCTTACAAAAGTCTTAAATCCCTCTTGAATAATGTGGAAGATTCCGGATTCCGATTAACCTTCGAAAAATGCGTTCCATGCCTGGCCGGTCAAGTTATGGTTGCCAAACATGGCCAAAAGAGCAATGTATCTCGTATCCTAATATAACATTCATAGATTGCGATCTGTGCTATAATTTACAAATCATGAAAACAAATACCAAAAACACATCGTAAATGACACGTATGGATCGAACTCCTGAAAACGTAACTTGTTAATAAATTGACAAGAAAAGAAGACTTCAGTGACTTGTTGACGACGGAATTTAAGAAAACACCCGTTATTTCCTGCTTCTTGCTAGTTTATCCGTGAAGAAACTAGAAAATAGCGACTAGAAACCTCGGCCACCTAACGGTTTATCTGAAACTCCAAAGAATTGGTAGCAGTAACATTAATTGTTGTATGTAATCAGTAAGGTGTATGCATGTATATCGCTGGTCGTCACTACCAAAAACATGGTTAAAACGGATAAAAATCTTGTGTTTTAAATTCTCACGTCTGATTCATGTCCACCAATCACATGAATACACAATCACTTGACTAAAATATATAAAAATCTGATATGCGTTGCTTTCGTTATGGGGACGATGATGGAATGTGGGATTTTGATGACAAATTTTTAACCTATGGTCAGTTTCCGATGGTAAACCAAACCAAAAATAACCGATCAATGGTAGATGTACAACCAAGAGGGGCCAATGTATTTCTTCTTTTGACCCCCAAAAGTTTATAAAATAAAATTCCGACCCCATCACAAAAAATTTCATGGATTCGCTACTGCATCGAGTATCTCCCACTCAGAAGTAAGAAGTCAGTTTCCGATGATATAGACATGTTTATATGGGGGTGGTAGTCGTTGCTTACACAGGTTTTCTGGTTGTAACTAAATGTGTTAAATTTCTAACATTGATTTTGTATTCATCCCAACGGATTTTAGCATTTCGTGATAGAAATGGGAACCTTAGAGACGAAAATAAGAATGAAAGACAATTACCAAAATGAAGCACTGCAAAACTTCTACACAATTTTGTTTCATCGGTCGTGAAATTCTATATGAACATGATATAAGAAGTGATTAGGAAAGAGGACTAACCAGATACAAATCTGCATGAATAGTGTAAGCTGTATCTGGATATCACATTCCATGTTCTTTCATGGTAAGCATCTTCAGTTTCTGCAACACATAGAAATTGGAAAAAGATGAACACGGAAAAATTAGAAAACGAGCATTGCTTTATAGAGCAAGATTAGATAAGAACTATGAAAGTGGAATATGTTTATGTAGTGATCAACTTGAACAAATTTGTCTAACCATTAGAAAGTGATGGAAGCAATGAAACAATGTTTGTTTTCGCCTTAATTAGTAAGAAATGTTTGGATATGACTAAACCAAGCCAAACAAGCCTAGCATGTACCATCCCGCAGGGATCATTCATGGTGAAGATCCCAACATGATCTACTCGGTCAAGTCTGATTAAAGCACTCCAACCAACCCAACAAAAGAAGTAATCGTAAACCGCCACCCTTCCGAATCCGGTTGTGGGGTCTAGGAGGGGGGAGATGTATGCAGACTTGACCTTTGGCTTCTATCCTAAAGAATAGAGCAACTGATTCCATGAAGACCTCCACCGCTTATGCAAAGTGTGCGAAAAGAAAAGATAAAGCTTGTAAAAAGAAGTTGCAGGACTCGAACATAAAAAGAACTTCAAAATATGAAAGGCATTGCAAATATAGAAAACTTTTAGGGTGCATTTAGTACCCGGACAAGACATGAGAACTTTGGTAAGATATGACTAAATAGGATAAGACTGGTAAAATGACCACTTTACCCCTAATGAGTTGTTTATATCTTTTCTATATTCTGAATAATATATGTAATTTGTTAAAACTATGATAAAATAAATATTTTTTATAACAAAATATATCATTTGAAAGTTTTTGTCAAAACAATTAAAATAACACCAAAATATGAAGTTTATTAGTTTCCAATTTTTATCGTACACTTTTTCTAAATTATTATTTTTATCATTAATATTTAATAAATTACATAAATTAACCAAAATATAGAAAACGTATAAAACTAATATTTTGATGACAATAAAGTGAAAGTTTAAAGAGGATAAAATAATAAATAAACAAAGAATGGATTGTAAAGAGGGAGACGTATTTGTTGTTTTAGAAGAGAATTAAACTTTATTTTAAGGGTATATTGGTAAAATATAGGCTTGTTCCACCTTGTTCCATACGGTAAGGGAGGAACACACCTATTCCACTATGTTTCTGTCCGTTTCACATAAAAATCATACCAAATGTGGAACGGTGATCCATGTTCTGTTATGTCTTGTTCAATGTACCAAATGCACCCTTACGGATTAGAAATAAGCAACAACATTAAAAACAAACAATATACACAAAACAAAAGCTGGTACGAGAAAGCATAACCAAGGTTGGAAATGATTGAATTGGATAAACCACCGTATATTTATTATGCACGTTCAGTCATCTTATTTCAGACATGTGTTGGTAGAAACAGAAAAAAGCCCCTAATTTTCAATAGTATATTAAAAAAGAACCATGTTAGTTGACGCTCTTTGTGTGGAATTCATTATCCTTTTACATTATAGCGTTCTTTTTGTTGTTTAATAAGAACGATGGTTTACTTGTGATAAAAACCCAAATGCAGTAACTTCAAAATTCAATCACTCGGAAAAATTAAATTAAAAGCAAGAACGAAGAAGTTGTTACCGTGAGGTACATTGGTGGATCATCTAAACTAGTTGAACCCAACACAACTTCCCTCCTGAGTTTAGAAGTAAGCTTGTGACAAACCCGCAGCTATAGACAAACAATGAACTATCTTTACGAACAAAGGCAACCAAAGAGAAATGAAAGAAAACCTCAAATGTTTACCTCAGATCTAGTGGCACCGCCGATTATAAAAACAAAAATTCGCTGCCCCATGTGTTTTAAATCATTAGCTGCATTTTTCTGCACCGAGTCACTGCAAATACGGTTAGAACAATGGTAATAACTGAAACAGATTTGCAGAGTTCCATATCATTAAAACAGATTCAAATGATTTTTCAGCATCTAGAAAGAGTTAGATTTAGGTGATGATATGAGTGGAAATTAGATATGGGTCATAGGGAGATCAAGTCAATTAGACAAACCAATGAACCATTAGTAGAGCTTGAACTTGAGCTTGCACATTGGTGAATAAAGTGAAACTCCCTAATTAAGATTCTTGTTAGCATAAAAATAGAAAATGGGTATTGATAGACTAAGGGTCTGTTTGTTAGCATCTTAATAAGCTTAATAGACTCACAGCTTATTCGGTCAGCTATACATGACTGTTTGGTAGTGACTTAATAATATAGAAAGTGGCTTATTCAGTAAGCTTCTAGGATGGAGCTTTATGCAGAAACCCAAGTTTCTCCAAACCTACCCCTCCCAGTTAAAAACACGTTCCTTCCATCTAGGGAAAAACTTTCCCAAACAAAAACCTTCCCAATCTATACAGACAGATCAATCCACACAGACAGCTTTATCATACATAACTTAATGAAAAACCAACCAAACATCCCCTTAAATGATGCTTATTTAATAGAAGGAAGAATATCAAATAAATAGATTCAATCAAGCTGCTTATGACTTCATGTTAAATGTGCCTCCAAATTTCTTCTTCCTTTGATGTGGCGATACTTGGGTCTTGCGACCAAGCTCGCCAAGCTAAATTGCATCGAACGGTTTTTCTTGCCTTTTCTAGGTTATTTTGGTTGTTATCAGCTACGAATATATATGTAAAATACTCCCAAACCCCATGGCAAACTAGGTGCAGAATATAAGGTTTTTTCATTGTTTCTCTATTCAAAGCATTGTAATCGTCATTGTGTTTAGTGGACTTCTATTGTTGCTCTCATATACCCATGGTTTTCACCATTTTTGGGGTTCCACGTAAATCCCGGTATCATGCTCTTTCTTTTTACTCTTTATTTTTGTGCATCAAGTTTATTGCTTTCTTGTTAGCCATACATGCTACATTGACGATCTGGTTTATTTTTCCACATTAGAACCATTTGTGACTTCAACTTTTGAATCATGCCAATTGACACGGTAAGTACCTATACACAGAAGTTCGCAGAAGGATTTCCATGAGACTGTTGACTTTTCTGCCCATTTGACTTTGACTTGTGTGTAGCTATTCATTGGGATTGTGTTGTCAACAAGATTAGATACATTAATTTATAACACTTTATAAATGAAGAAAAATCAGTAAAGCTACCTATCATCAGAAGCTTTTCCAGGTGCCGGTGTCCTCCTTGATCTCCTTGATTGTTGGGCGGCAGCCCTCCCTGCTGCATGACCAGAGACCCCTCGAGTGCTTGGGTCATTTATGCATTTGTACTCGTCCTTTGGCAGCTCATGTTTGTCGATTTTTTCAATCAATTCCTGAATGATGACATAAGTCGTGATATCCAATCACTTAAATATTACCATTATCATATCATAGTAATATCACTTTCAAAGTATTACATAACGAATCTGACATGTTTGTACAGAAAAAAACAACAGTGTCAATGATAATGTTAGAATCAGGGGATGTTTACCAAAAGATTACAGGGTAAGTGCTTACTGACAAGAATCACCACCTTCACTTACCTTATTGGGTAATATTCTTGGGCATCAAAATGGATTGTTGGTAAGCTTCTTTTACCCGGTAAGAGTCTTATTTCTCACTTATCAGGTAAGCTTATCAGTCTTTGCTATGCCTCATACCAGGTGAGATTTTTGGTCCTTGCCATGCCCACCTGCTAAGGCCTAAGGCAAGTGACACCCAATAAGCACTTACCCGGTAAGTGTTTTGTAAACTGCCCCTCAGTTCAAGTACAACACAACAGCAGATGAAAACAGAGTTCAGCACAAGTATCTGGTGTGGTACAAAAATTTAAAAGGAGAATTTCTATCACTGTCCATCAATGATTTATGCCTACCCTATCATTCATACTTGTTGAATAAGTGCTTTAAATGCAGCAGAGCTATATGCAACTTCGTTTGCGTCTTAGGAAGTCGCTTATGGGGTCATCGGAGCAACTCTTGGTAAATCAGAAGTGACATGCTACGCGATATCACAAGTTGCTCAACGAAGCTGCCTACATTTAAGCGACTTCCTATGTGACTTGGGCAAGTCCTCCATCAAGTCGCCTGCTGATGTGATCATGGAAATGACCGAAGTTGATCAAACTTATTGTGAAGACTTCTCAAACCCCATCCAGATATCTAACGGTCCAATTACAAGAGCTTGGGCTAGAAGGATTCGAGTAGCTTTGAGTAGCAGTGTTGGAGAACTAATGTGCAAGGTTGAGGCACAGTGAAGTGACGAAAATGAGTCTATTCAAGATTGGAAGACCATACTAAGCAGTCCGCAAGACTAGCTGTGATAACTAGGTTCCGGTTATATAATTTGAGGTAAATTTTGAAGTTTGGTAATTTAATTAGATTATGTGATTAAGTTATGTTATGTGATTATTATTATTATCTTATATGATGCATGTGATGTATACATACATGCATACATATATGTGAATGTTAGGAGTAGAATTTTAAATTATTAAAATTCTTTCACCGCCTTTTATAGCGAAAAGGGGAAATTCTGAGATGTGATGTCACTTACCATTTTTGGAAAGAAAGGAGAGAGAATTATGTGTGAATTTGTTAAGCTGAGAAGTTGAAGCTGTGATCAAATTGCTGTATAATTCATCTTCATACGTGTTCATAAGGTGAGTTTTACAAATGTTTTGGTGAATCGGTTTATAATACTTTTTGGTAGAAATTGTGTTATATGTTAGTATTTTTTTAAAGTTATACCCGTTTTTGTTAAGTTTTTCATCGCACACTGTATGGTCCGATGAGGACCCTTATCGCACACTGTGTTGTCTGATGAAGGACACTTATCGCACAAAGCGCTGTCCGATAAGGACCTTTATTGGACAAGGCATCATCCGGATTGGGTGTTCATCACCCAATGGTTTATCCAGTGTGAATGTTCATCGCCTGTGTGTTGTCCGGTGAGGGTGTGTTATCGCCCAAGTGTTAGCCGGATTGAGTAATTAGTATTTCAAGTGTTGATCGGATTGGGAATTTCATCGCCCAAGTGTTGACCGGTGAGGATAGTTATCAGTCTTAGTGTTGACCGGTGAGGATAGTTATCGGTCATAGTGTTGACCGGTGAGGATGTTTATCGGTCAAAGTAATGACCGATGAGAATGTTTACCGATCATAGTGTTGACCGATGAGGATGTTATCGGCCATAGTGTTGACCGATGAGGATGTTATCGGCCATAGTGTTGACCAATGAGGGTGTTTTATCTCCCAAAGTGTTGAAATTATTTTAATACCATTCTTGGCTAAAATTATTAAATTTGAGATTTGATTACATTTTATGAGGAAATAAAGGTGGCATATCAAGGAGAGGTGTACCTTGGGATAAAGGTGACATATCAAGGAGAGGTGTACCATGGGATAAGGGTGGCATATCAAGGAGAGGTGTACCTTGGGATAAGGGTGGCAATTGTGAGATTTGTGTTACAACTATAGCTCTTATTGTCACATCCATAAGATGTGATAATTCAAAGTTAACATTTCTTTGTGATATGAAGACTTGGAATTATTGCTCTTATTGAAATGATAACAATGATGTTATTGAGAAGGGGAAAATGACTTATAGCCAGAGGCATAAATTGCCCGTGTTTCGAGTAAACAAATGTTTTTGGGATATTGGATATTGTATTTCAAACTGTTCAAGAAACCGGAGGGTCTTTGGTTATCATTAAATCCATTTATTGTGAGTTTATAACAGTTCCTATTTTAAAAGCTTTAGTTAATAACCAAGAACTCTAGGTGGTCATATTTCTTTATATGATTTAGAAGTTTAGATTATAAGCTCTGATCTTTATGAGTCTTAAGAGCTTTGGGAATTTTATATCAAATGATTAAGAGAACCTGAGTGGTTGTATTTTCCTGAAGTGGTATCTCCTGTGTGGTAAGAATCGTGTTTATAACTAGCAATTTGTTTGTGATACTGGAGTTATATTTTATGAAAGTTGTGAATGTTCAAATGTGATTTTATAACAGGTTTTGGTGATCTTCACCCTATTAATTACAAAGAAAGAGATTTCTCACTAGACCTCAAGGTCTAACCCTCATTTTGTATTTCAAAAATGTGCATTGCAGGTTAGGTTTTGCCAAGGGATAAGGGGAAGGGGAAAATGTGAATTTTCCTATCATGCTTATGTGATTTATGAAGAGTTGTGTGATATTTGTTGGATTTTTGGAATACTAGTTTTGTATGTCAGTTATGTACAAGAATGTTATATGTGGAGAAATTTTTTGGGTTGTAGATTTTGTAAATGTTGTATTATAACTTCTTGTACTGTTGGGACCGAAGGTGTACAATTTGTATTTCTTGATATATGAAATACATGGTTATATGCAAATGTAAAGTATGGGGTGTTCTTGGTTTAAAAATGCGCGCATAATGCGCTCTGATGCGCTGGAGGTAACGCATCAGATGGGCTGATGTGAAGCGATTCCATGATGCACTCGCATCACCTACATATCACACGATGCATGCATCACCTATGCATCAACGCATCCTGTATGTTTCGTGTTTGGGCTACCTTTTTCAGTTTTTAGTTGGGCTTTTTAGTTGATTAAAAATAGAACATGAGACTGAATGGTGACCTAATAGAAGAAGCCGACAGCCTCTAATAGAGCATCAAGAGGGAGCCAGAGAGTAAATGATGATGGGCCGGGTCCATCAAGAACTAGAAGTGCTAGAGGAAAAGGACAAGCTCTTCAGGATGAAGATGATGAATTGGAGGTGGAAGCATATATTAGAGGGTTTGATAATGATGAGGGAGATGAACCCGTGTTGGGGTTTGATGATGCCGATCTTGGGGAGTATTAGTTGGTCACTTGGTCATTTAGTTTAGGGATTGGGGACTATTAGACATTTACTTGTGTTCTTCATGGTAGTAGTTTGTGTGTTGTGTTATTCCGATTCACGAACTTTTTAAGATTCTAATGCCACTTTTTGAACTACTTTATGTTATAAATGAAGTATTTTGATAGGCAAGTATTTTTAAGGTAGAAATTGATATGTAGAATTAATTTATAAATATTTTTTGAATACCAGGCGCATCACGTGCGTGATGCGAGCGCATCAGCATCACGCATCGGCTTCCGGGACCCTTACTGCCTCGGACCGCATCGCGCTTTTTAAAACCAACGGGGTGTTACACTAGCAACATATCATCGTCCAAAAAGGCCCAACCCGAGTCCAAAGAGTTTAGGGAATCTCAAATCCCTTGAAATTTGGAAAGGATTAGTAGCATTTTAAAAAGGGAATAGTATCCTACCTGTATGAGAAGCATACTTTCCTATTATTAACAGGTTTCTTCTAGGTATTTATAAGGACTTTTGTAGTTAAAAGGCATTCACAAATTTTATCAAAAAGTTTGTGTGTGTTTTCACCTCTTGAGTTCTTGATAACTTATTGAGCTTCAAGAACTATGTTCTTGACATATCGATTGATACACCATTTTTGGTTATGGCCTCACTCGACTATACCAAGGTTCGATTCTCTCTGTTGGGAATTAGGTTGAGGTTTTGCTCCGCCTTCTCTCGTGATTCCAAGGTTTGAATTTCGTTATAAACATCGGGTCAAGGTCTTGCACTAAGGTTCATGTTTGACTGAAGTCTGGGGTCAAGAAGACCATCCTATTGGGATAGAAATTGCAATCCCGGGTTCGTACCCCCTGTGGCTCAAAAATGGAAGTGGGTGAGATCTCAAGCGAGTTTGAAGTTGCCTACGTGATTGAATGAATTTAATACTATTTTTTGGAAAGAGGATGGCACCTATGGAAAATGTTATCAAATTCAATGAAGAAATACACCTATAAGGCGTGGTACTACCACCCACATGCATATCGATTCAGCTTATTAGGACAAGCCCTTAAGTCGAACCGAAATGCACTAATCGACCAAAGTGAACAACCTGAATAAGTCTCGAGCGAGTTTGAGGTCACCTACACGATTGACGTGATTTAATGCCACTTTAGGTCATTAAATGAACAAGCCCTAATTTGTGCATTTATCCTCTCCACGTTAAATATTCTCCCATATACTTTGTTGCTTTCAAGATTCTTCATTATTGGGATCTCCAAGCATGGGGCAAGTTTTAATACAATGGACTTCTCGGTAGTCTCTTTCGCCTGTGGTTTTCGTCCGATATGGGTTTCCATGTAAATCTTTTATGTTCATTTGTTATACACATTACTGATTTATATTGTAGGTTGTGTTGATATTTCTTCGCATACCAAGTGTTTCTGCATATTGTATGTCCCGGTATGGCAATATTGTTGGTATTGAAGCTTTAGCGAGGTCAAGTTTGGGCTACATTATGTAGTTGAAGTTTTGTGTTATATTGCTTTCATTTTTCTCAGCACTTGTAAAGTAGCTACTCCAAATCCATATCAAGGCATCACACATTACTTTATAATCTATCAGAAAAGTGATTTTGTATAAAGAATTCTTTTTGTTCAAGCCGTTACACACACATAAGTTGAGAACCAAGTACTAATGAAAAAAGCTTTCTAACATATCCTTGGTACCACACAAAATATCAATCATAATGCTAAGTTGTAGATATAGAAGTTGAAAGATATGGTTGAAGTACCTCTAGCACGGGATAGAATCGGAAAAGTGCCCATGTTTCTTCTTCTCCTTGTTTATCCTTCCTTAGTGCATTGTTTGCTTTCTGATAACCAAAAGAGAACATATCAACTCTTTGAACTTGAACATGTCATGATGTAAGAATGTATCTCGAGTTACGTTCAACAATTCTCTTCAATACATTTTAGAATTACCTTTTTATCAAAATTGAGGAATCCCCCTTTGGTTTCTTGTTTCTTTTTTTTAACTGGTCCCTCAAGCAATCTCATGTTATCTATCATCCTCATATCGTCATGCGACAAATTTGCCAACTAAAGGGTACAAAGAAAAGAGATAAAGAAGTAGAAAACAAAAGGATTGTAAGTAACTATGTTGTCAACCACTTCCCCTTAAAATGTTGGGCAACAAAAGCAGTTCAAGATGACGATCAATGATACTTTTTAGTGGCTTCAGATTTATTGAACGCAAACTACTCACCACATTTCCATGGCGACGGTTGTGAGCAGGATATTTCACTTGCTTATGTTAGATTTTGCCTTCATAAAATAACAAATTTGATTTCTAGTCACTGAAATTGCTCCATAAAGCAATGTGCACATTCTTTTTCAGGTCAAGTCCCAAAATTATGTGAACAAGTCTCAGTTTCTAATGATTTAACACCAATTACTACGACTCTTGCCAAGTCATCGTTCATAAAGTGTGAAATAATATGCCTAATTGACAGAAATATGGTGGGAATCAAGTAGCTACCTCCATAAGCTTTGCTCCGTTGTCGCCCTCAAACTTTTCAGGATCAGCTAATGCATAAATCATCATTAATCGTAACATATTTTCAACATTTCCATCCTGTAAGAGGTATAAAAACTGTTAGCCAGAGAAAAATATCAGGTCCCAACCGAAGCTTGTCCATCCACCAATTCACCTCATTTTCACTTAAATATTCAAGGAGTTCCTTGTGTCCAGCATCACCAAAGACAATATCCTGCTCAATTTGACCAAGATCTCTAAGCCCTTCTTCACTGATTACTGTATTAATTTTCCCAGCAATCTGATTTAAAGAGGCAGGTAAATCAATCAGTCCAGAAGCATTTAACAGATGAAAATCCTACCAGTCCTTATATTTTTCCTCCTAATTGTGTTCAGAACTAATACAAGATAGCTGAAGATAACATAAGTTATATAGTGGTATACAGGTCTTATTTCTTGAAGCAAAGTTGTGTAGCAAGGGTATGCTTTGAAGCCTTCCATCATGCTTCATATTACAAGGAAATGGGTCTAAGATGGTTTTATAGTACAGAGATGAGAACACTAAGGGAAGTAAGAAAAACTAATAGGAACCAACCTCTACATGGAGTGAAAGCTTTTCCATTTGTTCATTATATGCAGGCAAATCTTGAACCATTTTCTGTATGTCTCGTGTAGATAATTCACTACTGTCTCTGCATTGATGTCAAAATTTTAATGTGAGAAACTCACAAGGGAGTGATGATAAGAAGTTGCATGTCTTTCTCTTCTAATAAAAGAATACCCACCTATCTTCAACAAAATCTTCTGACAGTCACATGTAAACTAGACATCATGTTCCATGCTGAGTGATATATGTGTCATGTCCAATTGTCGATATAGAGTATATTTAACTTTAGTACTTTTCTTGCAGAGACTAACATGATCTAATAAAAATTATATGCATACCATTCTAATAGAAAGATAGCGATCAATGGCACAATCATTTTCATAGGATTACTAACATCATGGGGTAGTAGATGTGAGGCTATATGGAGTTCTCACATTTGAATGCCACAACCATGGTCCTTATGCAAAGACAGCTTTTGGTTAGAAATGGTGCTATAGTCTCAAGTTGTATATGCTTATTTATCATGTCTTGGGGAAGATCTCTTATCAAATATTGTTACTTCTTAATTGGTTTGGGATCTTCATTCAAGAAAGATCTGTACTTTCTCTTCAAAAGGGGTTGAAGAATTTCAGTTAGTGAATATTTACTTATTTTGCTTATAGAAAAAAAAACAGTGATTGAAACACTTCAGATTGACAGAACTAACTTTTGTTGTAGTTGTGCAGCTTTGTTTTTTGACATCAAATTCTCCATCTTGTCACTCAATCTTTCACTAGCCTGATATGGCATCAAAAGAAAAAACATTAGAATTTGTAATATTTCAAAATGAAACAGAAAACAAAGCTGGAGACATACTTCTGCTATATGCAAATAACGCATTTCAAGCCAAACAGGATCATGATCTTCCAAAAGGAACTCCTTTCTCTCAGGTGGGCCACCAGATTTACTTGGGACCTACAAGCTTTGCTATTCTTAGATGCTACTCAACCGAACTAAAAATTTCCTTACAAAAGGTACCTCCATCACATATTTGTTCCCATCCAAGTCTACTAGATCATGGCACATTGCATCGTAAGTCCATTCATGAATGATGGGTGCAACCTGAACTTGTGCAATGTGATATAGACAGTAAAATTCCACAAACTACAAAGAAGAAAAGGAAAAGAACAAAAAAGAAATTGAAATTACCAGATCAACAGATCTATCCACAATGAGCAACTCACATGTTTCAATCTGTGGATAGTTAGGGATAGTAGTTTTATACGAAGAAATGTATTCCCAAATCGCCGAAGCTACCTTTGAAGGAATTGTATCACGGAATGTTGTCCCTGTAGATCCATCCACGTCCTTTACACGGTACCGTACAACGGGAAGCTCCTGAAAACAAGCATACATTTAACAAACAATTCAAATACGAATATTTACTTAAAACAAGACTTCTGAAAAAAAGTATGGCTTTTGATTTAAATCAACAATCAAGAAGTTACTTCAAAGGCATTATCTTGGCAGGCCACTCTTTTACTAACAGCTAAGGTTACTCTTCTGTGACATGAAAGTCACGGGTTCAAGTTATGGAAATAACCTACTTGCAAGTGCAAAGGAAAGGCTGTGTAACAAGGGTTCCCTCTCCAAGCATCACAAAGTTGATCATTGGTGCACAGTGGTCACTCTTTACTAGCTTTATGTTTATCTCAAGAAAACAATAACCCCCGATGAAAATACTTGGGAGCTACCAACGCCAACAGAAGCTCTGCTGTTGACAGCTGGCATCCTTGGCCATTGGCAGCAAGCAACTGTCTCGCCTCTATCCATTCTGTCTGCAGAACAGCCTACTCCACTGTATTTTCACCATCTTCTGCAGACCATAGCCCCTCTAGAGACCTAATCACACCATGTATTAGGTCCTACCCCTCTCACTCACCAGCTAACTGTTTGCAACTTCAAATGATCATGGTGACTGTTGCATAAAGGCATCTCCTGCCTAGTTTGTTGCTGACGAGTGTTGACTCCAGATCTATCCCAGACCTGATTCATCTTATCCAGATTGGCTGTGCCCTGTTGCTAACTTCTGTCCATCCTCTTGAATACACACAAGCTGCTGGTCTTATGTTGTTGTGAACTTTTTATTAATTCCAGAAATCATTCCTGGTCAGGTTATAAATTTTTTGCCTACTCAATATCACTTCTGTTTACGCTGGATTGATTGTACCTGTTGATCTGGCACGATCCATTCATGAGTTTACTAGCTCTCAGGTTTATAAATTTGTTGACAACAAAAATTACGGGGAACAAAGCTACGATGCAAAACAAGGTGATGACAATATCGTTCAAGGTTTAATTATTGTTCAATTCTCAAATTCCCTGTGAAACTGAACTCTAATATGCTGAATGAAGCATGTTCGTTGAGACCTCTCTTGAGAGCATGGACATTGAAATGCATTTGATCAAGGACCTATCAGAAACTATTTTCTGGGATTGGAAACTTGACAGTGGTATTGGAATCACGCTTTGGAATGGATATTGCTCAAAACCACCCAACCATGAAAATATTATCAGTCATCATTTTCGGTCAAAGCCTCCTATCTCATGCGTATTTCCTGAGCTGATTGATGGTCCATGGTTCACAATATTTTACCAGCTACTTTTCCTGAACAAAATGGTAAACAACTTCAATATAATTTATATGTTCATGGAAAATCTGGTTTGCGGATACATATAGCAATAAATAATGTGAAGCACCACCGCCAGGGGTGCTGCCACTAGAACCCCACAAGGGGGAACACCCCCTTGACCCCACAAGGGGGAACCCCCCGTGTACTCCAAACCACCAAACCCGTCTTTTTAATGCTCAACCTTGAATCTTTCTTCTATCTCAACTCTCAAGTCAATCCCAATTACACCAAAATGTTTGATGACACTAAAATCACCAACAGAACCACAAGGGTGGTGCCTGATTGGTTTGAGCTTGGCTCCAAAGGTCAAAAATACCGGGAGGTCCCAGGTTCAAATCCAAGGAGAAATAAAAATCCCATTGTGGCCACGGAGGTTCAAATGCAGTGACTCCGAGCTATCTGCAAAGCAGGTGGTCGCCCTGGAATTAGTCAGCTCGCATAGCGGGTTGGATATCCAGGTTAATCAAAAAAAAAATATCAACAGACATATCATACAGAGGATAGACTCGTGCCAAGCTCAAGTTGCCGAGTCTTCTTTGATGCAGGTGAGCTTGATTAAGCTGAATTTGAGAGCTTGAATAGCTCAAAAATATCCATTAGAAATGTGCTCAATAGCTCGATTCAAAGATATACACCAAAACTTGACTATTAGTTTGAAACCAATTTAGATGAATCTACACATACACATACATATACATAGGGATAAAGAAACTTGATGATGATTCAACTCAAGTTCTTATAAATTATAAACTCAAACTTGACTCATTATACATTTCGAGCTCATATTTGTACTTGAACTCGAGATAGTTCGATTTGATTGAGTTCGAGCTTGAGTTATTCAATAAGAGGGTGGCTCGCTTACAGCCCTAGGATCAAACTTGTATAGTGCTAGTATGTGAAGTTTAAATGTACAACATTGTGAGCATTCATTACATTCCAATTTTATAAAAGATAACTTGGGCTACCACAATAAAAGTCTTGTGTTTTTACCTTAAGTGAAGCAAAAACAGTGGCAATGCGAGTAGCCATAGATTTTAAGCAAATATTGAAATCGTGAGAATTCTCAGCATCCTCACCATACAGCTCTTCTAATGCTCCTCCATGATCAGTCAAAAATGCCTACGGTGAAACACAGACAAAGTTCACATTTTCAAGAATAAAAAGGAAACTAGAGATGGAGCATGTCGAAAGTTCGTCAAACTTTGTGCTCAATTTTCTTAAAACAAGAACTATAAAGCATATATAATTTCTGCCACAGGCGAATCATAAAACCAAATATATGTAGAACTTGTGAAGTTGATAAAGTTAACTTGTGAAGGGATGCTCAAAAAAAGTGGCTCAAGAAAGAGGAAAATTTATCAACAAGAACAAGAAATCAGGAGAATATGATTCAGCTGGCACTGTGGTAAGCAGCAAACAAGTGCAGAATTTAATATGATTTCCATATATAATTGGTTAGAACTGAAGGTGGAACAGGTGTAACAGTCTCTCAAACGAATTTAGATCTTGGACCCCCAAACAGTTTTCTATGATAATTAAGGTCTTTTTCATTTGGATGCAAGAAAATGTGGGGGTCTGTCTCTGGAGAGTTGGAAAGAGAACATAATCAATATTGGAGCAAACAAAAGGGGAGTAAAATACGAAAACATCCTCAATACTTTAGGCTAGGATGGTGAAATGCCTTCACAAAGGAATGCCAATTCTGCATACTAATACCTAACTATGCACCATAATCAGAACATAAAACTTAAAACCAAGCCATTAACTTAAAAATATTTGAAGGATTTAATAGTACCTGATTGTCTATAGGAAAGTACTCCAAGTTCATCTGCAAGTACTAATCAAATAGAGTGAAAAACTAATGTTCACACATGCGTCATCACTTGGTATTTACAGATGGGTGTCATTTACAGAGGAAAAAAAATCATAAATCAGAAGAAGAATAAGATGGTAATGTTAACCTCTCTCAGTGCACCTACGCGTGGCACGACACTTGTATCACCTTTGATTCTACCAACAAAATCCTTTGGGATAGAAGCACTGAAAAAAACAAATGCTCTGCCAACAGAAGGATGAAACGAAGCCATATGAAAAGGAAAATAATAAACAAGGCTTCATGTCATGGAAATTACAGCTCTTCACATACTTCTTATACAGAGGTTCTCTCCCCGACATGTCAGATATAAACATGATAAGGCTGCAAATGGGAGAAAGAAAAGAGTAAAGCTTAGTTTTTTTACAAGCTATTAAGAAAACGGGAAAAGGTGAGGGAAATTAGTGAAGAAACAATAAGTCTAGTTTACTTGCAGCATATAGAATGAAGGAACATGCATAATGCAAATACTGTTAAGGAGTAAAATGTGATATCCATCAAATAAAGGACGATGCCAACTGTGAATGCATATGAACATGAAGAAGATTAGGCAACAAGATTGACATACTCAGAAATTTGAGCTCCTATTGCGGATATAAGCAGAAGTCACTGGTAGTAGAATAATGCTTCCGTTATGGTTGGTTCATTAGGATTTAGTTTACTTCCTTGGCCTGGAACCAAGGAAATCAACTCAATCCTGAGGAACAGAAAGGACATAACAGAAATGCTAAAATGAACACCAACTCTAGAAACCCCTAAGGATTGACCTACTGGTAGTTCATGTGGACTCGGTGACTTCTTGTTAGAAAATAGGATTGTAGAAGGAGAATAAGTGCAGTAAATCAAATGATTAGGACGTGAGAATCACTGTCCTTAGGATATTAATAGCCCCCACTAGCAAGGTTGTTTGGGTTATAGGCTATGATACCCCCAGGATTCCTTAATCATATAAGATACATTCAACAACAGAATATATCTTCCATGAACATATGCAGAATTATTATTGAAGAGAATAAGATGATTAAGAGAGAGAGAAAATGATGAAATGATCACACATATAAATAGGTTTGTGTTAACAACTGATTGTGGATAAGAAGTAACCAACATTTGGCTTTATCCAAATCAGAAAATCGTGAACAAATTGTCAAAAACGGTCAGAAAAAAGGAGTCCAGAGGCTACAGTGAGTTAAACTCACGTGAAACTAGCGTGAGACATAAAAGTCTGATGTTTGGAATCCGCTAGTGCTATCTTTTGACCATTTAATATATGTGTAAAATTCACATAACAAGGCCGAACCATCCTTAGCTAACTGCCTACCTTGATCTCTTAAACAACTCTACAAGTTGTTTAAAGATTATAAACTAAGGAAGAATTTATCACTCTACCAATGTGGGACAAGTGATATGCCTCAACTCACACATATATATATATATATACATATATATATATATATACATATAGCTATCAATACAACTAAGATTCTACTGATTTTCCTATGTGGGACAATCTTTCAATGAATCTCACTATGAAGACTATATATACAACACTTATGAAGCATCAATTCTAGGCTTTGAATTCCACTAGGTGCTATTTCTCATCGGGGACCATGCCGGTAGATAGGAAGGCCTGAAATTTGTCCGATCCACGTGGAGGGGGATTTTGCATGGATCTTGTAATCTGCAAGAGTTCTCTATCAATTTCAATATGTTTCATACAAAGGTATACATAAATGATACGCCCCAGAGGTTCAGGAGAGTTTATCAGAGATGTCGATAGGTTGGATGGAAGGATAAGGCTAGCTGGGTTTATTTAATTATTTAAATTAGGATAAGTCTTTGTTCGAGTATTTGAGTCTTTTTAGGATTGTTTATTTGGCAAGTTACGTATTTGAGTCTTTTAAGGATTGTTTTTGTTAGCAGGACACTATAAATATGGTGCTCCATTGATTGTTTTTCCTTATAAAATTAATAAAATAAGACCTCATCGGTTTTTAGGAGATCACCTGTTCTCGAATTCAGGCCAAGTTCATATTATTTGGTATCAGAGCAGTTTGGTTCTGGTAGCAAGATGGTGAGCAATACCGATCGGATCACCAATTTGGAAGCAGACATGACAAAGATGAGAGAGAAAACAGAGGCTAATCGCTTTAAGAACGCGATGAAATTCCAAGAAGTGTTGAAGGCTATTAGTGACCTAACTCTGGCAGTCGGAAAGAATGAATCGAAGAAAGATAGAGGTACGGGATCAAGAATCGGATTTAGGTCATTATCTGATGATGAAGCTTCTGATGGAAAGAAAAGCAACTGATTTGAGGGCAAGGGGCAGGACCCTTTGGGCGATTTCAGAAAAATTAAAGCTCCTATTTTCGACGGGGATGACCCGTATAGGTGGATCTACCGGGTTGAAAGATTGTTTGAAGTTCAAGGCGTCAAGGAGCATGACCATCTAAGGGCGGCTGCAATATGCATGAATGGGGCGGCTTTGGCTTGGTACCGCTGGTGTGAAGGGGACGATCCTTTCCACTCATGGAAAGATTTGAAACAACGGTTGTTAGAGCACTTTCAACCGTCTCAAGAGGGAGGGGAGTATAAGCAATTACTGGTAACTCATCAAGACGGGGTTGCACGTTAATATGTTAGTAAATTTGAAAAGATGGCGGGGCAACTTGGAGATCTACCAGAGAAGAAACTGGAGGAAGCATTCATCAATGGACTCAAACCAGAACTCCGGTCGGCAATCAGAGTCTTGCAACCGGATACGCTAGCACAAACCATGAAAATTGCAGTCAGGATGGACGATAATAAGTTTAGCATGGGAGGATCCAAGGTGGGGGGAGGTACGACTAGGGTTCCAAGTAACCGCCCTACCTATACCACCTACTCCGCAACCACGAGCGACAAGAAGGGTGGCACCAGCACCGGCACGACAAGACCTATGGGACAATTCAAAAGATTAACTGATGCGGAATTCACCCATAAAAGGGCAAAGGGGTTATGTTTTCATTGTGATGAAAAGTTTGCACCAGGCCATAGGTGCTCCAACAAGACTCTCCAAGTGCTCCTGGTGGATGAGGAGAGTAACCAGGAAGATAAACCCGAACTAGATCACGCACACCTCGACACTATGGAGGTATTCCTGAATTCGGTCAGTAAGCTTACCCCACCCCAGACTATGGAGGTAACGGGCGATATCAAGGGAGTTCAGGTATTGGTATTTATCGATTATGGGGCGACGCATAATTTCGTGTCCATAGAAGTGGTCGACAAACTCGGGATGGAAGTATAGGACACGGGTGCGGTGAAAGTTCGATTGGGAAACAATATGATGGAGCAGAGTTAAGGGACTTGAAGAGGGGTTGTTTTAACACTACCGGGGCTCCAAATTGTAGAAGATTTTTACCCTCTGAAATTGGGAGGATCAGACATTATTTTGGGCATCAAGTGGCTACAGACTTTAGGAGATATAACGGTTAACTGGCGGGAATTAAGGATGCAATTTCGGGAAGGCAATTGAGAGGTCACCATTATGGGCGACCCAAAGCCATCAAAAACCCTAGTTTCGTGTAAATCAATGACTAAAATACTGCAGCGAGAAGACATGGGATTCGTGGTTCATTTGAGCTTAGCCGAAACGACCCGGGGTCCACCACCACCACCGACCCCACCTTTGGTTCAAACCCTCATCCACAGCTTTGATGATATTTTTGAAATGCCGCCAAGGCTGCCCCCGTCTCGCAGCCACGAGCATGCGATAGTGCTATGAGAAGGTTCTTCACCGATCAGCGTAAGGCCGTACCGTTACCTGCATGCCCGGAAAAACGAAATAGAGAAACTTGTGCACGAGATGTTACAAGCAGGAATGATACAGGCCAGTACTAGTCCCTTCTCCAGTCCAGTATTACTCGTGAAGAAAAAAGACGGTAGCTGGCGTTTCTGTGTGGATTACCGAGCGTTGAACAAAGCCACCGTGTTGGATAAATTCCCAATTTCGGTGATCGATGAATTGTCGGACGAGTTACACGGGGCGGTACCATCAGATCCGAATGAAACAGGAGGGCGTGCCAAAAACCGGATTTCGAACTCACGAGGGGCACTACGAGTTTCTCGTCATGCCGTTCGGTCTAACGAATGCACCGGCAACGTTCCAGTCATTAATGAATAAAGTATTTCAGCCTTTCTAACAACGCTCTGTGCTTGTTTTTTTTTTTTTGATGATATTCTAGTTTATAGTCGATCCGAAACAAACATGGTCAAGATTTGCAAGAGGTTTTTGAAGTGTTGCGAGCACATAAGTTGTATGCAGATAAGAAAAAGTGTTCATTTGCACAGAGACGTATTGAATATTTGGGTCATATAGTTTCAGAAGTTAGCGTTACTGCAGATCCGGCTAAAATCGCAACTATGGTAGAGTGGGCCATTCCTACGACCTTGCGGGAACTTCGCGGGTTTCTAGGGCTCACGGGTTATTATCGAAAATTTGTAAAAGACTACGGAAAAATTGTTTGGCCTTTGGCGGAACAATTGAAGAAAGATAGTTTTAAGTGGACTGAAGCAGCCACAATAGCTTTTCGATAGCTACAAGACGCAATGACAAGAGTACCTGTTCTGGATCTTCCGTATTTTAACAGAGAGTTTGAGGTAGAGACCGGCGCGTCAGGGTATGGGTTAGGAGCGGTTTTAATGCAAGCAAATCGACCCATTGCCTTCTTCAGTCATGTTCTAGGCAGCCGGTCTAGACTTAAGTCTGTATATGAATGAGAACTAATGGAGATAGTAATGGAAATCCAAAAATGGCGCCCGTATTTGTTGGGGAGAAAATTTGTGGTGCGCACCAATCAGCGGAGTTAGAAATACCTGTTGGACACTGAAGATCATCAAAGATGGTTGTCGAAATTGTTGGGGTATGATTTTGAAATTCATTATCGACCAGGCAAGAAAATAACGTCGTCGATGCTTTGTCACGAAAAAGCACCAACCCAACACTCAATGCATTGGTCACATCTTCTCAGATTAATTGGGCCGAGTCATGGGCTGCTCTAGAGGTCGATCCAAAAATCCAAGCTCTTAAAAAATGAATCTTGGAAGGTCGAGAAATACCATTTGGTTATGAGGTACAACAAATCCGAGTGCTTTATAATAAGCGTTTGGTGTTACTACGGGGGGTCTGCATGGATTCCGCGATTATTTTAAGAATTTCATGAGAGTGCAATAGGTGGTAACTCGGATTCTCAGAGAACATACCAACGGATGGCAAGGGAGATGTATTGGGTTGGCATAAAGAGCGAGGTTGCAACGATGGTGGCGGAATGTGACATTTGTCAAAG